GAAACGCGACGAACAGGTGTAAGCGAAGCGTAGTTGGAGCAAGCGAATGGCCCTGCAAAAAATTAATTAAGCGAAACAAGCATACACAACGCAAACGTTTATAGCCGCGCCGCACATGAGGAAGACGAGTTCAATGATACACCTAATACATGACATACAAGGGGGGACCCTATCCCCCTCCCAAACCCCCTGAAATAATACTGTCATTAATAACGAGAAACAATTCGTAACAAAACACTGCTAATTTATTCGCCACAATAATGCTAATGAACTTAGAATAATAATGTTAATTAATCGTTAGAACATGCTAGTGAATCCAAGTAACATGGAGTTAAATAATTCGGAATCAAATAAATCAATTAATTGTCACAACAAACTATTATCAACTAAACGTCCGAAAATATGGACCTCTTAACCTGCGGGTCACGACCATAGATATTCTATATATACTAGATAGCGCATCTCTTTAGTAAAATTGAAGCCAAGAATATTCCAGCGGTTACTCCCATTTGAATAGATGGCGGCCATGTTGGTCGTTCCCACTCGCTAATAAACGCTTAAAAACAGCAATAACTTTCATCATTTGAATAGTTTAAAATGTATTTGGAATAGGGTTAACTTAATATTTAAGTTCCCTGTTTAAGAAATACGAAATATACGAATCTTCTCTCATTTCATGGGAACGACCTGAGACTGCAATCCCGGCTTCAATTTTTGAATTGCAGAATAATTAGATGCACTATCTAGTGTATATAAGATATCTATGGTCACGACACGGGCTTCTTGGCTTCCGATGCGCAAGCGAACGGCGTTATAACGCAGAGCAACCCGGAAAGTCACACATGTGACGAAAGCGCCAACGCGAAAACTGTGAAGAACAGCGACCGGCGTTCCAAGAATGGCAGACAGTTTGCGCCGAGGGGGTACCATGCGCCTCCAAACCCGCGACTGCCCGAGTCTCACCTGGGGATGAGGATGAAATTAAAATTAAATTAAAAATTAAATATAGTTCCGAGTTCATATACGACCAATCGGTCTGGTTGTAAGCTTCGGCTTGGCGGCGAAAAGCGCGATCGTAGGACAGCCAAGTAGATCCCGCGAATTGCTGAGCGGTGCGTGCGCATAATGAGTAGCTGGTATTTCAGCAAATCAGTGATACGAGCAGGCCAATAGGTAATTAAAACAAGCGTGTAGACCGAGAACGCTTGCATCCAAGTGAGAATATCGGTTATCTCTTTACGCCGTTTGGCAGGACGAATCACAAGCTGATCGGCTACAAAGGAAAACGAGGGCGCATCAGGCCGTCGACATGGTCCTCTAACAGTAAAGCGAAATCGATAAACTCCCCCGAAACAATCGCAGCAACTAATTTCGGAGTAATGGGTGGGATACCGTGCCCCACAACAAACGAGGGAAAGGCTGCAGGGGGATACGAGGACGAACCCGGGGCCACGAAACCGTGACCGGGGAAACTCACCCCCGGAATGATACCCCGGTACCGGAGACTGGGTACTGGCTAAAAAACAAAGATGGCGTACCTGGAAAAGTTTGGTTTCCTTGTCCAGCAGGAACCGTCGCCAACTTTGGGACTTGCGAATGGAGGCCACTGAGGTACACTTGGTAGGGTACAAGGCGGCGCGACACTAGGAGCGACCGATGGCCCCAGAGCTTGGTGTGGAGGGAAACTTCGAGGACTAAACATCGTTGTAGGCACGGACGCCGCAGGAACCAGCGAAGGAGCTACCAGTCTCGGTGGGAATATCGGCGATGACAACAAACTCAAAGCTGCTAAATACGACGACAGAGCTGGAGCAGTTGATGCGATCGTTAAAGCGACGAGTTGTGGCGTGGACGATACCACGATCGTTGTGTTTATGCTAGAAGAACTAGCTGTCGCCGAAGGCGTGGACCCACCAGGGAACGACATAACGTCGTCCTAAGAGAGATCTTAACCTTGGGTAAATTGATCAGCGAGATAAACAAGCGAGTTGCAACGACAAAGCGAATAAACAGTTATCAACTGGCTGGCAAAGGCAAGGTTACTTTATAGTAACTAGGGGGTAACAACACCCGGTGGTCAATCCCCGGCAAGTAACTATGCTGCGAGCATCTCCTCGACATTAACATCCTTTATTATAACTAATAAATACATTTAAAAAACTTCCACAAATGTTTACAGGTTAGCAATTTAAGCCTCGTTTTAATATACAACCGCAATGGTCTCGGGTACAATTCTCATCCAATAAAAAAACATATAATCTTCATATATCAAACTCGACAATATTTGGTCTTACTAAACATTTTTTATAAACACTATTTATATATATTGGATAATCTGTAAGTCTTCTCCTAGTAAGGGTAGTCACTTAAGTGTTAATCGCATACAGCTCATTAACAATGATTTCCATATTGAGACCAACGGAATTATTAATTATTCGTGCGAAGCCAAATGGCGGGTGAAAACATCTATTCTTGACGTGCTATCGTTTCTCCAGAGCCCACTCGACCCAGTCTTTCGCGCGAGTTTTGTATTGTCTGTCCAGCTCGATCTCTTCCGAAAATTAAGGCTATGTCTTAATTGTAAAAAGCGTTCAAATTAAGCAAAGCGGAAAAGTCGAATACGAGCGCGAAAGGCTGCTGGGAGTCGCTAAAAAATTCATTAATTTTTATAGTTAATTAGTATAGGTAATCATGCGATGGCGAGTACAATTAGGGATTAATAGTACGAGAGATGTTTGGAAATTTTGCCAAAATTGTACGAGCCGCCAATTGTACGAGCAACATCTTGTTTATTATTAGCATGACAAAATTGGATACGTACTTCTCATTGTCAACATCATATTCTCTCGCCAAAGCCCAGTTCTGCCACACTTTCAACCAAAAGTTGGTGCTTTTGTTTGTATTTTCATTTAGTTCTTTTGTTCAAGCAAAATTTGGTACTTTTGTTCGTATTTTCATCTGGTTCCTTCACGGCAATTTCATTTCACGCTTGTGTTTAAAATACCTTTCCGCCATTTTGTTTGTTTTGGGAAAATCATTAATTGTACTGCAGTACAATTAATGAAATAATTGTACTCCTCTCAACCAATCAGCATCCAGTAATTTTGTCATGTAATAATAAATTCATTAATTCGCTTGTACTCGACTTTTCCGCTTTGCTCGGGGACAACCTTAAGGCCTGATTCCACGGGCGCTTTTTCTCGGCGAAATGCGAAATATTTCGCCTGTTTCTTTTGAATTGTGGGCAATCAAGTAGAAATAATTTATTCGAGTGGTCGCAATTCAAAAGAAACAGGCGAAATATTTCGCATTTCGCCGAGAAAAAGCGCCCGTGGAATCAGGCCTTAAAGGCCTGATTCCACGAGGCGGAATATTTCGACCGAAGCGAAATTTCTCTTTGTCTTTTTACAATTAGTTCTGCTCGAGAGCTCATGAAACAAAGAGAAATTTCGATTCGGTCGAAAAATTTCGCCTAGTGGAAAACCGCCTTAAGGGGTCCAATACTCAAAAACTTTTTTTTGTGTGTTTTAATGCTATGATGTTCATCTTTGGTCAGTTTTTAGGGCATGGTACCACTAACATAAAAAAATGTTTTTCAAAGTTTACGTTGCCATGGTTACCATGTTAATTACCCCCGGTGGTGAAAAATCAACATATTTGTAAACATGATATCTCAAGAAATATGAATGATAAAAACCTAAAATAACTTTTATTTAATAGTATACCACATACTCTTGGGGATGAACTAGAACTATGGTGATTGAAGCAAAAATAATTTTTTTGCGGACAAAATATTGAAAATACATATTATCGGCATGATACGGACTATCATAACTTTAATGCTATTGCATATATTTTTATGGTAATGGTAATTAATGGTTTATTAACACATTTAGTAGTAGTTACGCTAATTTACAATGTGTTTACAAATTTGGGTATAAAAAGGTATATATTCTATATATTTACATGTCATTCATTAAAATTAAAGTTTTACTAATCGATATCTATTTACAATATGTATAAGAACTACTAATGCATACCTATTTGTACATTAACTGATAAAATTTTAAAAATGATGATCCTAATCAACCAATCTAGAATTATATAAGTATATACAGTAAACTAAAGGACTGTGTTTAAAACGTTCGGTTTTAGAGGGGAAATTATATAATTTCTGACTGTTAGTTCTTGTTTCTTTTTGTCTAATGTATTTTAGTTTCTTTGGTAAGAGGCTATGAAGTTTATGGTTTGGTTCCAGCATTTTTTTAATTAGAGATACACATAATTCGTCCCTACGTTCTTCCAAAGTTTGTAATTTTGTCTCAGTTATTGCTTGGTCGTAGTCTAGGTTTGGGTAAATTATTCTAAGTACTCGTTTTTGAATTCGTTCAATGCTCTTTTTCTGCTCTTGGGTTAGACCTCCGTTCCAAATCTCCGCACCATATTCTAAAACAGGACGAATTACCGAACAGTAAAATGCTAACAAATCATCCATGGGGGCACCATAACTCTTCAAGATCTTTAATAAATACAGACGCTTGGCCGCTTTCTTTGTAATACATTCCGTATTAGTTTTCCATTTAAGATCGCAATCTAACCATATTCCCAGTAACTTATATGACTTCGTTCGAGAAACATTATTACCACCAACATAAATTGGGGGCATAGAGGTTATATTTTTCCTAAAGTCAATAATCATCTCCATACACTTTTTATAGTTTAGTTCCATTCCTTCGTCCTTTCCAAACTGTACCACCTTGTCTACGTTCATTTGAGTCTCACCGATTGGGATGCCACCTAAATGGTCACTGACATTGATTACTTCCGATAATGTTGTGTCATCCATAAACATCGCTACGTCCTGATCTTCTACGGCATTACATATTTGATCTTGGTTATTGGGTATAATAGACGTTGGTAGTTGGTCTATTTTTATTATAAACGCAATAGGACCAAACTTACTCCCTTGTGGAACGCCTCCCTCGATTCTTTTACAATCAGACTGTTCTCCATGGAAAGACGTTACTTGTGATCTGTTATAAAGATATGATGCAAACCAACCAACTACAGCTGGACGAACGCCGATTTGCATAAAATTTTCTAGCAGCACATTATGATTGATCAAGTCAAATGCCTTTCGAAAATCAAGAAACGTAATACAAACAATCCTCTCGCATGATGGTTTCATGAATTTATTGAAAAATTGCTATCATCATCCACATGGACAGAAATTGGAATCGCTCCAACACATGTCTAAAGAAGAACGCGATGATCAATTTATGTTGCCAAAAGTTTACACAGAACGTTTTAAATAATCATTTTTAAATAAGTGTCTTTTTAATGACTTTTAGAATTTTTTTATACGGTATATGTTATAGCAATAACGTTAACATATTTCTAAATAATCTAATTATTTTTTCTTATATGCACTGATCGTTTTAAACAACTTTTAATGACTTTTAAAACTTGGTTTTACTGTATATATTAACTGTAACGTTAACACATTTGTAAATAATGTAATTATATCTTATATGTACTGTAAAGTTGCACGTTTGTTGCAACTCCAATATTTATCATAGATTTTAATAAATACGTACGAATGAATGAATGTCCCATGTGGTCTAGTGGTTAGGATCTGGCGTTTTCACCCCCATGGCCCGGGTTCGATTCCCGGCATGGGAATGCTTTTTAGGATATTCGATGACTTTAGTTTCGACGACTGCATCATGGATATTCAACTGCAAAATCTTTTTAACGATGGCCTTGTGGCGCAAGTGGTAGCGCGTCTGACTCCAGATCAGAAGGTTAAGTGTTCAAGTCACTTCAAGGTCATGACGAACCTTAGGAATTTTCTTGAAAATGTTCGATATCAGAATAGAGAAGCCTTTTACATTTAATGGACGTTGCAATGTTGGTCGATCGAATTCCCATGTGGTGTAGTGGTGAGGATCTGGCGATCTCACCGCCATGGCCCGGGTTCAATTCCCGGCATGGGAAAATGCAAATTCTCTACAGAAAATGCCTTTTATTCCGTGGTTACATTCTAATAATTGTGCCCTCGTGTTGTTGACGTTTTTCTACGTCCATCATTTTAATTTGCAGTGTCGCGAACAACGTAGCTAAAGAAGATGACAATGAGTAATTACTGACGACGTGTGTACCAATTCTAAAAATAACTTGGCGGTGTTTAAATCCACAGCGAAATAGTAAAAATTGCGAAGAAATAATTGCGCAGTATATCGCGTTGGTGGTTCAGTGGTAGAATTCTCGCCTGCCACGCGGGAGACCGGGGTTCGATACCCCGCCAACGCAGAGTATTTTACCTCTCGCATGATGGTTTCATGAATTTAGTGAATAATTGCTATCATCATGCACATGGACAGAAATTGGAATCCCTCCAACACATGTCTAAAGAAGAACGCGATGATCAAATTATGTTGCCAAAAGTTTACACAGAAAGTTTTAAACAATCATGTTTAAATAAGTGTCTTTTTAATGACTTTTAGAATTTTTTTATACGGTATATGTTATAACAATAACGTTAACATATTTCTAAATAATCTAAAATTTATATGTGAAAATCTAAAATTTATATAATCATATGTGGTCTAGTGGTTAGGATCTGGCGTTTTCACCGCCATGGCCCGGGTTCGATCCCCGGCATGGGAATGCTTTTTAGGATATTCGATGACTTTTGTTTCGACGACTGCATCGTGGATATTCAACTGCAATATCTTTTTAACGATGGCCTTGTGGCGCAACTGGTAGCGCGTCTGACTCCAGATCAGAAGGTTAAGTGTTCAAGTCACTTCAAGGTCATGACGAACCTTAGGAATTTTCTTGAAAATGTTCGATATCAGAATAGAGAAGCCTTTTACATTTAGATAGATAGATAGATAGATAGATAGATAGATTTAATAAAATACTTCGCAGCCATAGGCTGAATTGCGTATTTTTTTACAAGTAAAATTTAACTAAATACGAGAATATAAAAGAAGAGTTTATCAAGCCATTATGATGACATTCCATATAAATATTATATATACAAGATGTTTATTACTTTAATATATAAAAATTTAAAATTATTAAAAATATTAGGTCATTTCAATAGCATTAGATAAATGATTTGCGGCAGGAAGCCACAAAAAAACTAGTTTGAAAACGATTAGTGTTACATCCAGGAATTTCAAATTTCCTATCGGTTCTTAAATCATAAAAAGAAGTATGTGTAGGTGGCAGTAAACTTCGTAACTTATGATTTTCATCAGCAACTACTG